AATTTCCCGAATTAGAGTTTCATGAATAAGTCCCTTACCTTGTGTATTAATCAGTCCTCTTTCCTCCCATATCTTGCCAAAAGTATGAACTATCCCAAAGGCGTACTTAGAATCTGTAAATATAGTGCCTGCCTTTCCGTCTAATAGCTGTAATGCTCTCAACAGCGCATATAATTCACAAGCCAGAGTTGACCACGCCCTTGTCTAAGGGTCCAGGCTCCTGGACTTGAAAAGTCACTCCGTCTATTACTGCGTATCCTGACTTTCGATTTCCATTAACCACTCTAGACGAACCATTGATGTATAATTTCTCTCCTTCACTCAACTCCTCTTCCTCTAAATCTTCCTAATTTTTGTCTGAAGACTTATTACTTGTAGACAATCATGTACCAGATCTCCCTTGGGCTCTCCATATAAGAAGTGGGCTGGGTTTTGTAGATTTGTCACTTCTAGCTCCAGTTTGGGTGAGTGTAACAAGATGCTTTCGTACTTTAGCAGCCGACTATCTGTTAACCATTTCTCAGCTCTCTGCTGCAGCACTTCCCTTATGTTGTGAGGGGTGAAAACTTTTAATTCTCCTCCAAAGGTTACTTTTATAGCTTCCTCAACTAACAAAGCCGTAGCAACTATAGCTTGCAGACGGGTTGGCCATCCCCTACATACTGGGTCTAATAATTTAGAATAGTATCCAACTGGTTTTCTCTGTCCGACCCACGTCTGAGTTAAGACTCCATAGGCCGTACTATTCTCAGTATTTACAAATAGATAAAAAGGTTTCCGATTGTCTGGCAAACTCAGCACAGGTGCATTCACCAAATCCTCCTTTAACTTTTCTAATTGTTCCTCATCTTTGTCACTCCACTTTACCAACCCATCTTTTGTCAATTTTTCGTATAAAAATTTAACTTTACTACTATAATTTTCAATCCATTGTCGGCAGTACCCAAATAAGCCCAAGAGTTGCCTAATTTGTCTTTAGTTTTGGGCATAGGTAATGACAAAATTCCATTTACTCGATCAGGGTCTAATCTCTTGTGTCCTCTACTTAGCCAGTGTCCTAAATACTTAACTTCCTCCTCCGTAAATTGCAGCTTAGACTTTGACACTTTCAAGCCTTTTAAACTTAGAAAATTCAGGAGTCAAATGCTTTCGTCTCTGACAGTTTCTGACTTTTCTCCAGCCACTAACAAGTCATCTACATATTGGATTAGAACAGTACCCTGGTGGGGTTCAAAAGATTCTAGCAACTGCTCTAAAGCTTGTCCAAATAAATTTGGGGGCTCTGTAAATTCCTGGGGTAGGACAGTCCATCTAAACTGCTACTTCCTATGAGAGTCAGGGTTTTCCCATTCAAAAGCAAAATAATCTCTCCTGTCCTCTTTAAGAGGGCAGACCCAAAAGGCGTCCTTCAAATCAATTGCACTATACCATTTGTGTTCAGGGAATAGCTGATTTAATAAAGTATAGGGATTGGCCACTACTGGGAACCGAGTAATCGTCCGTTTGTTTACTTCTCTCAGATCTTGCACCAATCGATAAGACCCATCAGGTTTCTTTACTGGCAAGATGGGTGTATTATGTGGTGACATACATGGTTCCAGCAATCCCTGCATTAGGAGCCATTCTATAGTGGGCTTAAGTCCAACCCTCCCTTCATGAGGGATAGGATATTGCTTTACCCTTATTGGCTCCCCTGGATTTCGAATAGAGACTTCAAATGGTTTTATATCTAATTTTCCCACAGAATCAGGGCTATACCACACTTCAGGATTTATTCTTTTTTCATCTTCCACTGTAAGGGAATATATTTTAACTTTTATTTTCTGCTCTTTCACTTCTAAATTTATTCCCAACTCTATTATCAAATCTCTCCCTAATAAATTATATTCAGCCTCAGGGACCAGCAAAAATGTTCCTAATGCATATTTATTTTGGGCTTCTATTTCCACATCTTTAATGAGGGGTACTTTAAAAGGTTCTCCTTTAACTCCTACCACTTGGACTGTGTCAGAGGAGGTCATACAACCCCAAGGTAGTTTTTGGACAGTAGATCTTTCTGCCCCCGAGTCCACTAGGAACTCGAGTTCTTGTTGCTGGGGACCTATTTTAAGTTTTATCAAGGGCTCGGTGTTCTTTTGGGTCCCCAGCAGATAGAGCCCCTGACACCTTCAGTCTTCTTTAAAAATCTGCTCATCCTGCAGTCTTTTTCTGCAGTTTCTTTTTATATGTCCTTTTTGCCCACAATAGTAACACTCTAATTCACTTAGGTTTGGTCTATCACGTCCTTTTGACAATTCACATCTATCAGATCCATGAGGGATCCTTAGTCTCTGGTCTCTGTTTCCCCTCTGTCCTTCTCGTATAGCCGCCGCCAAAATCTTTGTCTGCCTCCATTGCATTTCCACCTGCCTCCTTTGCATTTCTTCCTGTCTTTTCTGTAATTCCTCCTGTCTCTCCTCCTGTCTTTTCTGCATCTCTTCTTCTTTCCTTTGTCTTTCTTCCTCCTTTTCTTCATCTCTACGTACATACACTCTCTGAGCTTCCCTTAGCAACTCATCCAAACCCTTAACCTGCCAATCGTCACTCTTTTCTAACTTCCTCTGAATATCCTCCCACGATCCCTGCACAAACTGCATCTTAAGCATAGCTCCCCCCATCACATCATCCATTGGATCCAAGCCAGAATAAAGCTGAAAGCTTTTTCTTAATCTTTCCAACCAATCCATAGGTGATTCATCTTTTTTCTGATATTCTTTAAAGGCTTTATCTATATTCTGTCCTCTAGAGACTGCTTCCCTTATACCCTGGACTATGATGGTCCTTAAATCAGCCATTTGAGCTCTATCAACCGCCATCTGGTTATCCCAGTTAGGTCTCTGAAGAGGCCACTTAGTATCGGCAGCCGGACCCTGCTGGTGTGTCTGGTCCCAGTGCCTCATTCCTGCCATTCTAATCATTCCTCGTTCTTCTACTGTAAATAAGATTCCTAAAATCGCTTGCAGCTCATCCCAGGTATATGTATTTGGCCCTAGAAACTGGTCAAATCTTTCAGATATTCCTATAGGGTCTTCTAACAATTTCCCCATCTCCTTTTTAAACTCCCTCACATCCTCTGAACTTAAAGGAACAGACACAAACCCTAACCCAGCATCTTGTCCTCCCATTGCAATCTCCCTTAAAGGATATAACTGACCTTCCATCTTTTGTTTTTCCCTGGTTTGGCTTCTCGTTACTCTCCTGCTATCAGCCGGTGAGGGGGGTGAGAGGTTCTCTAATGAAGGGGGTACTGATTCTGTTGGGGCAGAGGGCTGAAACATTGGTTCTGGAATGGATGCAGGTGGTGGAGGGGGTGGGATATATGGTGGAGGGTATCTTTGGAAATCCTCCAGATCCCAGTTATTCTTTTTCTGCTTTTTCATTTCCTTTAAAGGAAACAAATGATTTCTAGTGTCTGATTTGATCCATAATCTAGCATACTTGCTTTCTTCTGCACAAAACGACTCTTTGTTATTTACATACAGATTTAAAGCCTGACATATCCAGTCTTCAAATGAACCATATACTGGCCAATACAAATGATCCTGTCTTATTTGCTGCCCCCCCCATACAATAATGCACCATCTTTTCTCTCGACTTTCCTTCTGTGGAGGGATATTCATTCCAATACCTAATCATAACTCCCAAAGGACTATCTGGAGGTATGCTCGGTAGCCTTGCCACTAGCTCATTTTCAAACTTTCTCCTATCCTGCAGGGTATCCTGTAGCTTTTCTTTAGGATCTCCTATTCCAACCCCCTCCCTAGGTTTCTGTTCAGTCTTAAGACTGTCCTGAACTGTTTTACAGCCACCCATGGGAGCAGAAGATTTACTTTTCTTCTGTCCCATCTTCCGGAATGCCTTCACACACACCCACACGCACTTCACTTGCTTCCCTCCTTTTGTGACTCGCTCCCTCGCGGGAATACGAGAACTGCACTACTAGGAGGCCCACAATCGCTTCGTCCCACTGGACGTCTCAGCCGTTCACACTCCGGGATCCCCTCCCAACCAAAAGGGGCCGCAAATACTTACCCTCCTCAGGTAAGTCTTTGTTCAGTTCCTTACTGAATGGTCCCTGACCAGACAAGCAACCCCACTTACTCACTACTGAGTAAATCTTTATCTGGGCCCGTGCACGGAGATTATGGGGAACTGCAGTGGTTTATTTGCTTATTTGCTTTTTCTAAATCTTTTCGGTCGGAATCTCAGAGTCTGTGCTGCAGGACTCCCTCCAGGACCATCCAAAGAAAGGGACGGGGCACCTGCCCCAGAGGGGTGTCCTATCGCCCAGAAACTCTGATCCGAGTCAGTACGGCACCAAAAATTGTTATAGGTAAATGAAACTTAGGCTGAAATAGAGCAGCAAAAATTTATTAAAGATTTATATAAAATGCAAATAAGCAAAACAGCGCGCTGGGCGGCCGGGGAGACCCCTGATCCGCTCACGACCCGCAAGCGCAGTTGGCAAAACCAGTAACCTTTATACCCCTATCAATTCCCTCCCATAGTCACTTGTTATCCCTCTATTGGATCCGAGTTCACAGGTCTGGTTCTGGTTGGTTCTTTTGCAGGCCCGCTTCAGTTGCCAGGTACTTCCCTATCCATAATCCTCTGTCCTTGAGGCCTAGTGTGTGGGTCCCTCCAGATGTCCATCTTGCATCCTCTTTATCGTCCTCGTACTTGCCCCTTTGATCCTTGTCCTTCCCTTCGTTACTTTAGTCGTACACTTTTAGACAATATACTTTTAGAAAAACAAGATACGAAATACTTATTCAGTAAGGCACAATAATTTGTCTTGTCAGCTTAAGAACTGCAGCTGCAGAACTATCAGCCTATAGTACTGACAGATTAATTAACCATTCTGCAGCTTGCAGTTCTCCAACCTTAACAGAACATTGATTACAATAACATATATATATAGAAATATAACATGCAATACAATTGAATGAGTAAATTACTTTACTACTACTAATTTGATGAGTAAATTACTCAACTACTACTACTTATTTATTACAGGGGGGACCCCCCTAATCCTAGAGAGCAGAGAGGGGGAACTCCTGGGAGGGGATTTTGGGCTGAATGTTGGTGTTTTGGAAGTTTTTATGGACACAAGATGCCCGGTGAGTTCTAGAGCTGGACCTGGGCAGGAGGAACCCCCAAGGCAACGTGCTCACCCCTTGTTTTTCCCTCCCCAGCAGGATTTCTGCTTCCCAAAGCTTGGGTGGATGGAGGAGGAGGCTGCGAGGAAGAGGAAGATGCCGCGGGCCCCCCAGGCAGGTGAGGAGGAAGTCAGTGCCCCTTTGGCTGGGTCTTTTGTGACCGTCCTGCCGGGGCCGGAGTTGGGGGGATGTCCTTGGGCTTCCCTGTGGGCCGGAGGCAAATCCCCCGCGTGTCCTTGTTGCTTCCTGCCCCAGGCCCTGAGGTGAGGCCGGAGACCGCGGAGGACAAATCCCCCCGGCAGAGCCTGGTGGGAGAGGCTGTTTTGAAGGGCTCCCCGGCGCAGGAAGGCAGCGGGGAGGAAAAGGGACGGAGATGCCCTCGGAGGAGGGGCTCCAAAGCCAGCCCAGGGGTCTCTGAGGAGGAAAGAGCCAGCGTGTGCCAGGAAGGTGGCCGGAGCTTGAGGCGGAGCTGCGAGCTGGTGGTCCCTGAGCATCCTCCCAGCAGGGAAAAGCCCTTCAGGTGCTTGGAATGTGGGAAGAGCTTCAGCAACAGCACCAACCTCCTCAAGCACCAGCACATCCACACTGGGGAACGGCCTTACACGTGTGGGGAATGTGGGAAGAGCTTCAGGGACCGCTCCACCCTTCATCGCCACCAGATGATCCACACTGGAGAACGGCCCTACGAATGCTTGGAGTGTGGGAAGAGCTTCAGAGACAGCTCCACTCTCCTCACCCACCAGCACATCCACACTGGGGAACGGCCCTACACATGTAGGGAATGTGGGAAGAGCTTCAGGAGCAGGTCTGCTCTCTGCACCCACCGTCGCATCCACACCAGGGAGGGGCCCCAACGGACCCACCGGTAATGGAAGCCCTGAGTGCCCCGACTGCGGGAAGAGCTTTGGCTGCTGCTCCAACTCCATCAGCCATCGGTGGACCCGTGTTGGATGATCCACAGGGACCCATGTTGGGCACAGACCTGGTGACCAACATTCCTGGTGACCCCTGTTTAGCAGAGACCTGGTGCTAGAATAGAGTTCAAACCTGGAAGAAGAATAAGGACTGGCACATCTGATGAGAAGGAGAAGACTCCAGTTCCCGGATAACATGAAGGTCAGGATGGTCTCCCCAAAGAAAAACCCTGAGAGACACCTGGTGTGAAAGGATGTACTGAGGGATGGGGCCAGTGAAGGTCCCACAGCCTTTCTTCACAACCATCCTGGAGGGTGGGAATAGGGAACCTTTTTGATCTCTGTTATTTATTTGTCAAGAAAGAATAGATGCCTGTCACGCTACCCCAAATTTACCTTTGTGACTAAAGTAACTCAAAACTCCACCTAAACCTGAAAAATAGTCTAAAAAGAAGTCAAGGCTAAGGAGAAATGGAAGGAAGATTTGCATTGAAAGTGCTGGATGGGCTGAGGGGCTGATCCTGCCTTCCCTTCCCCTTTCAGGTGGCTCATGGGGTGAGAAATTTAAAGTTCTGCATGCTGATTTATTGCTTTTACAGAATTGGAGTTTGCTTTTGCTTCCCAGTGTTTTAGTAGATTGCTGGTTTGGTTTAGAGTTTGTGCTTTGGTTGCTTTGTGGTGTTCTTGCTGTGTTTGAAGTGTGTTTTTGTAGCCAGAGCCTCTCAGTGAGGACTACAAGCTTTTCTGAGCTCGTCAGGGTTTGTATTGATAGAGTGCTATTGGGTGAGCTGCTGCAGGGATTCCTTTGTGAAGGTGCTGCCAGTTTGTGGGCAGTGGAATAAGTGGTGGGAGATTGTGCTGAGGGAGTTTCCCTGTCCCTGGGAAGTGGCAGTGCTCGAAAAGGGTGATGGAATCCCCTGCCCTTGGGAATGTGTTTGGGGCAGAGTTGGTGTGGGGAACAGCCGAGAGCCCAGACTGGACTGATATGGTTTTGGCTTCCCTGGGGCACTAATAGGCAAATAGACCTTTGAAGAGTGGGGTAAATGTCCTCTGACCCTCTGTTTTCCATGCCCCCCCCCGGGTTGAACCCCCCCTTAAAGTGGTGGTCGAGGTACATCCTTAAATGCCCTCATTAAAGCCTGGGGGACAAACGTGGTTCAGTCACCCCTCTAGAATTGATCTAAATTTCAGCTGTTGGCACAATGCAAGGCTGAGATTGGATCCAGCAGCCCCCAGCACCCAGAGTAAGTTGGGATCTCAGGGGGACCACCCCCTTTTCCCAACCCTCCAGTGTCCAAAGACCCCCATAAGACCGTCCATCCCTCCAGACCACCCCCCTTTTCCACCCCTCTCTCTGTTCCTCCCACTTTTCCATGGTCCCCTCGATCCCCAGCCCATCCCAGATCAATTTTGGGGTCCCAACCCCCACTTTTTCTCCCCTCTCCCACTCCTTACACATCATTCTCCAATCCCCAGCCCCCTCATGCTCAGTTTGGGGGTCCCACCCTCCCCTTTTCCCCACTCTTCTGACCTCTCCCACCCCTTTCCCATCATCCCCCAAT